AAATCCCATATCATTTTACCCCGTATAATGGAAAAAAAAAATTATGGTTTGATTTTTCAGGGCGGCAGAGTTGTACAGAAGTGGATTAGAAAAATAATATTTTATTTATGTTTTATTTTGAAACACAGGTCTAGAAATGGAGTTTCCTGTACATATGTTAGAAAAAGAAATTTCGATAAAATTTTGCATTAAATTAAATAGAAAAATTAAATAAACATTTCTCCATATTAAAATTGTCTTTATCCCTTTGAACAGTGAATATTAGTAATTCCTTTACATGCTAAACTTTAAATTTATAAAACTTACTTATACCACCAAAATAAGTTTATAATTGCCTCTTACCTGTCGTAAGGTTCGTGCAACTATGCTTTCTACAACTGGCCCCCTATCTTCATGTAGCAAATGAACTTCATCAAGTATGAGAAGCTTTACTATCTGGGAAAGAGCCACATCCCCAACACTCTTTCTTGTTACTACATCCCATTTTTCTGGTGTGGTTACAAGCATCTAGAAGACAAGCAAGAAGAAACAAATTAAAGTGGAAAAAAAGTCACATGCATTACTTATATTTCAACTATATCAACCAAAGAAGTATTTTTGGCCTCTTCTATACAGGTCAAATACAACATGTTTAAAATATCCCAGGATGGCATCTAATTCACTAAAGCATAGCAGTCAAATCAAAAGGATAATTCTTTGAAGTATTGTTTTAAGCAGGTATTTATTTTTTAAAATATTTTGCTTATTTTTGTTTTAGGTGTAAGAGTATATCACCTACATGTATGTAAGTTCACCCATGTTGTGCAATGCCCGTGGAGGTCAGATGAAGGCTTGGGATCCCCTGGAACTAGAGTTAGAATAGTTGTTAGCCACCATGTGGGTGCTGGGAACCAAACCTGGGTCCTCTGCAAGAGCACCGAATTCTCTTAACCACAAGTAATCGCTCCAGCCCCATTAAGCAGCTATTCAAACCTTAAAGTAGTTCGGTAGTTGATCAACAACTTATAGTGTGAAATTTAAGTTAAGAGCACCTCAAAATGTGAAAAATGCTTATACAATACCATGTATTAATAATGATGCTTATTTAATAAGGGATCACAAAGTGACAGAAACTCTAAAAGGAAATCAGATTAAAAACAAGACTGATTCTAGCACGGTCATCGGTTAACCCTTTTGAAGTCTGATATAAAAGCCGTCCTTTAATATCTACTAATAAATGCAACACATTATACATCAATACTGATACATATGTAAAGCATAGCTGACACGCACAAGGAACAGTGAATCACTCGAGATCAGGGACTCCAGAGCAGGAAATATTTATGTGACATCCACATACGTAAACCATTTGACATGAAGAAGCAATTATAAATCCATTTACTTTTTTACATAATGAATTGTTTGGCTCTTCTAAAAGCATACTGTGAAGTTAACACCTTCTAATGAAGTAATGCCATATTAGGAAATATATCTATACTTGAATAATTCAAAGAATGCATGATGTGATACATGAAAACCAAAGCTTCTCTTGGACAGTAGAACACATTATGGTAACTAATGACAGTAAGTCATCCAATTGTGCTCTCCTTTGGAGGACTTAACTGTTCTATTTCATATGTGTTTTGAAGTCACTTATGTGGATACCAATTTATTGTAGACAGCAAATGAGTATGATATTAACAAATGTACAATCCAAACTCATCAATATGACCTGCTGTACTGTTACAGATGCCACTGCAATTATTTTGAAATGCACTGTGGCAATTTAAAAATTTTACAGTTTTACTTCAACAGAACATCAATTAGCAGATAGAAATGAAAAGACAAAGCAATGCAAATATAAGGTGTGAAGTGTTACAAATTCAGTAATTTAGCTAATTTACTAAAGCTAAAATAGCAACCTGGACACAAATCAACTTTTACAGAAAAGATAAACTGTTAGACATGTTCTACTAGAATCATCAACAGATGTAAAATGAATTCTGAGATCTAAAGTACTAAGAAATACTCATTGTGTATTAAAATCTTCTACCACACTATAACAAATTTAACCAAACTTGAATGACAAATTCAAAACAACCCAAAGTATACTGGCATAAACAAGCAACAATAAAACTTATACTGCTTTGTACTGGAAGTTCTTGAAAAATATGCCCATCTATTTAAAAAAAAAACAATTCTCCTAACCTATAAAATCAAGGCACATTAAAATATAAAGAAGCTATTTTATTAGTTGAATTAATTAAGGAAGCTACAAAGAACATAATTAATTGTAACAGAAAACATAATATGTACTTCACATGAACTCAGAATACTCTACTGGTGCCTCCTCATAATTAACTTTCAGAGATAATAGTGTGATAACAATCAGACTGTAGAATCAAAACTTTCAGACATAAGAACCCTATGCGAATGCATTTGAAAAAGCCTGTTTCTATGGTTCACTTTCAGCACACTAACAGGTGGTTTCATTTATATTACTGTTCTGCCACTTCCGTTCCCTGGCTACAAAAGAAACTGTCACATTTGCTTAATGAACCGGAATTCATACGAGAAATTTCCAGATGCTCTTGTGTTAGGTCATAGGTCAGTATTTTTACTGTCAACATAAATTTCTTTCAGTATTTGGACTTAGCCCATCAGCAGTATAAAAGTCATTATTTGAAACTATTCCAATGTTATCACATTCACCGAGAAAACAGCATTGTTGAGAGTTTACCATTATGCTAAAAAAACCCCAGCATATTCAAATTTTAAAATGCTTATCAATTTGAGTATAAAACTAAAGGACTTAAAATTTTCCAAAACCAATTTAAACAATATTACTTTAAACTTACATCTTCTATATATAGTAAAAGTCCAATATTTTAGTTTTGTATGAACATTGCATGACAAGAATCAACTATTCTTTGCTAAGTGTGAAGTATATGACTCCTTCAGGAGTGAAAGAAAAAAATCTGAACTCCACAAGTTATTTGCATAACCCAATAGACCCCCACCACCAGATTTCACACATTCTGTCACATATGTTTAAGGCCTATCAAGTCATGTTTGTGTAGCAGGTGTATCTCAGTGCAAATTTATCCTCTGGGATTTAGTCGGCTATCTACTGGTATCTTCCTTAAAGATCAACTCTCCCTCACCCAGCAGTAATCAACTGCCTATAGTTCTCTGCTAAGGTGGGACCTCCTGTCAATTTCCCCAGGTCTATACTGGGTTATTGTCTAATTGAGTTTGTAGGGGTCTTGTGCATGCTGACACCATTGCTGTAAGTTCATATAAGCAAGTTCTCTGAGGTCTAGAAGACTCTATTTCTTTATGATCATGAACCAATCCTGGTTCCAGGGACATGCTCTCTGCAGTCTCATTCTTTACATTTTGGCCAGTTGTGGCCTTCTGTGTGCATTCTACCACAGTGCAAGAGGAAGCTTCACAGGTGTGAGTTGAGAGGTGCATTAGTATTCTCTACTGTGCCGGATAGGTCTCTCAACGGGACACACCTGGGTTGAGGCAGCCTTGACTTGGGAATTGCCTCCATTGGAGTGGCCTGTGGCCATGCCTGTGGGGGAATTTTCTTGAGTGCTGAGTGATGTGGGAAGGCCTAGCCCACCGTGGGTGGTGTCACCCCTGGGCAGGTGGGCCTGTAAGAAAACAGGTTGATAAGGGCCAGGGGAGGAAGTCAATGAGCAGTGTTCCTCAATAGTTGTGCTCCCCTTCTGCCTCCAGGTTCCTGACCAGAGTCCCTACCTTGGGCTCCCTGATGAACTATGACCCAGGAGATGTAAGCCAAATAAACCCTTTCCTCCCCATGTTGGTATTGGTCAGAATATTTTGTCACAGCAATGAAGAAACAACTAGAATAGAAATACAGTAATTGGTACCAGAGAGTGGGCTGCTGGCTGTGAAGAACCTGACCGTGTGGGGTTTTAGAATGATGTGGAAGATTCTAGAAGTCTGGGATAGAAAAGTGGTTGACTGCTATAAGCAGAACTTAACAGTTCATTCTAATAGGTGCCTGGAAGAAAGCAGTGTTGAGAACAATGTAGTTCCAGAGGGAAATAAGGACTTAACAGCAATTGGGATATTTTGGCAAAGAGTCTGGCTGGAGTCTACCCATGACCAAAAGCTTGCCTGAAGATAAGGTGAAAAGCAATGGACTAATTTCTCTGGTAGAAGAAATTTCAAGACAGTCTAACAGAAATGGTGGTGTGGCTATTAACGGAGAATATTATGCAGCTCTACAACAAAAAAGAGCAAATGGGGAAGAAAGAAATATAGAAGGTACAGTTTGGATTGAAAAGAGCACTTTGAAGGTAAATGTGGGAGCCAAGGTATGTGCTGGGGAGGACCCCTTTGATAAGGAGATTTAAAGTCATTTAGAAAAGAAATGGAGATTTGCACACAAACAATGGGGAGAGTGCCTCCAGGGCAAGAAGACACTCAGCTAACCTAAAAGCTAAGTTTCCAATTTGTGAAAGGAAAATGCTAGGGGGCTAGGGGAGGCACAAGGCACAGGACAAGATGGGAAGCAGGATGGGAAGGGAAGGATGGGAAGGGTAAAGCCCGCTGGGGTCCACCCCAAATTTGCAACCAAACTTGGGAGTGTCCTTCACCTGGTGCTGGCTTTAGAGGCATGAAAAATCCAAGAGCAAAAGGATCCTTGGTTTGTCCTCCACAGTTTCAGAGAGCTGCTGAAGCCAGGTAGCATAGAGAAGGCTCTGGTAGGCCATTGCATGAAGCTGTGAAGGTGAAGCCTGGTTGGCAGTGGGGACCCCAAGAAGATGTTCATGATGCCAGAGCTGTGGGACATCTGCTAAGGAGAACTGCATACAGGGATTGGTAACAGTCCATGAGAGAGATGTATGTGGCATGCAGCAAAGCTCCAGAGGCTAAGCCATCTAATCCCTTTGGAAGTAAAGTCCCAGAAGTTGGATGTGGAGCTACCAGATCTGGTGTTTGTCCTGTTGGTTTTTGGTTTTGTTGTGCTCTGGTATTTCTCACTACGCTGCTTTTCCTCCCTTTTGGAATGGTAATTCGGTTCCACTGTATGTTGGGAGTATGTAATTTGTCTTTTGGTTTTACAGTTAAGCAACTGCACTGACTCTCAAGAGACTTTAGTCTATGGACTTTTAAATTATTTTGAGGGGACTTTCAAGGGTAGACCAAACACATTTTGTTTTACATGGTCATGAGCCTATGGAGGCCAGGGAGCAGAATGTGGTGGTTTGAATGAGAATGTCCCCCATAGACTCCAAGTATTTGGACATTTTGTCCCCAGTTGGTGGTGCAGTTTTGGGAGGTCTCACAAGTGGTGGGTATGCTGGAGGAAGCACGTCACTGGGAGTGAGCTTAAAGAGTTCTTAAGCCTTGCCGGCGTCACTGTTCCTTCCTGTGCCTGCTAGAAGATGTGAGAGCTTAGCTTCTGCTCCTCCAGCCACCTCCTGCCACCATGCCTCTCAACATGAAGGACTGTAATTCCACTGGAATTGTAAACTCAAACTCATAAG